CTCCTCCTTCTCATCATCATCATCAGCATCATCATAATCAGCATCAGCATCATCATCATCAGCAGCAGCATCATCATTATCATCAGCATACCGTCATCATCACCAACACCATCATCAGCAGTATCATCATCATATTCATCATCATCTTCTTCATCATCATCATCCTCATCATCATCATCATCATCATCATCATCATCATCATCATCATCATCATCATCTTCATCATCCGCATCATCACCATCGTCCTCATCCTCATCCTCCTCTTCCTCCTTCTCGTCATCATCATCATCAGCATCATCATCAGCATCACCATCATCATCATCACCATCATCATCATCATCATCATCAGCATCAGCATCATCATCATCATCATCATCATCATGATCACCATAATCATCATCATCATCATCATCATCATCATCATCATCATCATCATCATCATCATCATCATCATCATCATCATCATCATCATCATCTTCACCTTCATCTTCATATTCATCCTCATCTTCATCCTCCTCCTCCTCCTCCTCCTCCTCCTCCTCCTCCCTCCTTTGTGGTCCATCCTCCCTCTCCTGCTCCTTCCCGCTCCTATATGCTCCCCGCTCCTAGCCATGTGGGCTCAAGGTTGCAGAAGGCACACCTGTGCTCGAGAGGCTCCCTCAGAAGGCGAGCGGGGCTGCCCTGCTGCAGAGGGCGCAGGCGTGGGAGGCGGCAGCAAAGGCGGCAAATGGCGCCTCTCCAGCAGGCATGCGATAGCCTGTCACCCAACGGTTCGGCCCCAACGGAGTCGCGAATGACACATTTGTTTTTGTTATGTTGCCCCCCCTCTCCGCTGCTGGCATTCTTCCTCCTCCTCCTCCTCATAGACTCACTCTCCTCCTCCTACGGGACAAAAAACTCTCTCGATTCCTCCTCCTCGTCGTCCTGCCATTACCACTACCATTGCCACTGCCTCCTTCTCCCTCTCCCTCGCTACTGGCCCTCCTCCTCCTCCTCCTCCTCTTGCCATTGCCATTGTCATTGCCTCCTCCTCCTCCTCCTCCTCCTCCTCCTCCTCCTCCTTTTTTGCTTCTCCCACTCCTCCTCCTCTCCTCCTCCCTCCTCCTCCTCGCCCCTCCTTGTGCTCCCTCCTCCATCCTCTTGTGTGCCCCCCCCCCTCCCCGCTGCTGCCCCCGCCTCCCCCCCCCCTCCCCCCTTCGTGCAGGACAACTGGATGAAGTTCAACTGCCGCGGCGCCCGAGGGCGCGAGGGTGGGACAGCTGTCCTCCGCGAGCTTCGCGGCGGTGCCTGCGAGCGAAGAGCGGAGAGCAGGGGAAGGAGGGGAGAAGAGGCGGCGCTGGGCCACGGGGCAGGATGCGCCGCGAAAGTTCTGGTCGGAACGGCAGGAGTCCGGGGAGTAACTGCATCGGTACCTCCTGGCTTCCCCAGGCAGGGGGAGGAGGAAGGGGGAGGAGGGACGGGGGAGGAGGGAGGGTGAGGAAGGGGGAGGAAGGGGGAGGAAGGGGGAGGAGGAAGGGGGAGGAGGAAGGGGGAGGAAGGGGGAGGAGGAGGGGGAGGAGGGAAGGAGAGGGAGGAGAGAAGGGGGAGGAGGGAGGGAGAGGAGCGGGGAGGAAGGACGGCACGGGAGGGAGGCCCCGGGCCACGGCGAGGCAGCCGCAGACCTGCATCGGGCCCGGCCGCGCCGAGGGCGCCGCGGCCCGCCTGGCGGCCAGGCTGGGCGTGCCTGGTTGCCTGGCTGCTGCCTCGACCCAGACATCGGGCGTCTCGAAAAAATCAAGACGCCGGTTTTTCATAGTTTTCCGCCTCTCGGGGCCCTCGCCGGGCCTCGGGACCGTCAAAAAACGGCTCGTGATGAAAAAACAGTCCCAGGGAAGTGGTCGGGAGGTCGGGGGCCCGCGTCTCGAAAAAATCGAGACGTCGGATGTCTGGGGACGCGTCGCTCCTGGAGTTCAGTGCGGGCGAGCGCGCGGTCGTGCACAGTGGCCGCGCAAGAACCACCGCAAGCGGAAGTCCCGGGCGTTGTTTCGGTGCTTGTGTTTTTTTGCGTTCGGGCATTTCTGCGTTTTGGCTGCTGCTGGCGAGTGCGTATTTTTGACGCGGCGCTTTCGCGTGAGGTTCTAGCCTTTTGTAGCGCGCTTCCCGTGGCGATTCCCTTGGATGTGATTTCGCGAGGCCTATTGACGATCATGCGCGGCGTTTTCCTGTTTGCCATGACGCACGCGCGAGCTGTTCTGAGAAGTTCACGTTCGTAGAAATGTGGTCGCTGCGGCATTACAACGCTGTGCTTTCGACTGTGCGTGGCGCCTTTTCCTTGTCAGCTGCGCGTGTCCTGCATGGTCGGATTGCCCCCGCGCAGCGATGTTTCGCGCGGCGTGATTGCGCCGATGTTGTGCGACGATGCGCTCAGTCATGCGGGCAAAACGCCTCCGCGTGACGACGCCTCCCGTAGCGTCTAGCATGCCGCCACGTTTGTTTCTTCTGGGTGCGTGGCACCCCCGCA